AACCAGCGACACGGGCATTCGCGCCACTCCGCTGCTTCCTCTCTATCGCCTGCCCTCTCCACCGCCCCCGCCACCGCCGCCGTCCCAGCTGCCTCCTGCCCCGCAATCTCTAGCGCCGCCGGAGCAGGATCCGGTCACGGTGTTCTTCAACTCCACCGCGGACGTGATTGCGCCACCGCCTCGGCCTGACAGCATGCAGTTGCAGCTGGAAGCCTCCATCGACACCATGCTGGCAGCACCGATGTCCTTTGACACGGAAGCGGTCAACGGCCAGCCAGCCTCGCCTCTACCGCTGACCGACGGCCCCCCGCCTCAGTCCATGCAGCTCGACCTCATCAGCGCTGCATGCCGTGCGCCCCGCCCGGAGGTGGCCACCACGATGCAGCTGGGCACGATGGTGCAGCAGGTCCAGGAGCTCCACCTGGGCACCTCGCCGCCGACCCCGCGTCGCCTCTTCCTCGAGCCTGCACCGCCCGTCATCGCCAACCCGCCCGCCCTGCCTCGCCGCCCCACCGCGCCGCCAAAGTCTAGGGCCTCATCTGCCCCGCTCCGTCAGAGCGCTCGTCAGGCGGCAAATCCCTCCCCCGTCCCTGTGGCGCAGCGCGCCACCCTGCGGCTCGTCCAGGGTCTCGGGATGCTGGGGCCAAAGGAGAGGATGACAGTCCAGGCAGCCGAGGCGCTGGTGCGGTGCTTCGACGAGCCCCTATCCGAGGAAGACATTGCTGGCATCGCCAAGATCACTCGTCTGAACGTGGATGCGCTGCACGCCATGGCCACCCTTGCTGGCCCGGACGACGCGGGCGGCGCTGCAGCCTAGGCCTCCCCCTCATCGTCTCTCCGGCGGCGTCTGGCCATGCGTCAAATAGAGTTAGGGATCAATGTCAATGTTTAGTAGCAGGCTTAGAGGTTTAGATCATCACCAGCATATCTTGGGTGCTACTGGTGGTTGCTGCCGCGCCACGGCTTGTATGATGGTGCATCGTCCTTCTATCTTCTTTGTAGTAAAATTTAGCCTCCGAAGAAATCGTGTGTTCAATCATGAGTAGCCCCCACTGCGCAATCTTGAGCTGGAACGTCCGTGGCCTGAACTCGTACGGCGAGGCGTTCGGCCGTCCGTGAAGTACTCGACGCGCACCAACGCCTGGTGCTCTGCATCCAGGAAACAAAGCTTGACACCTGGTCTCCAGACCTGGTCCGGAAAATTGGCGGTAGTAGGCTAGATGGCTGCATGGTGTTGCCGGCGATCGGCACACGAGGGGGAGCGGCCATCCTCTGGGACAGCGGCGCCATCCACATGTCCACGCACGCCGTTGGCCGCTTCGCCATCACCGCCAAAGCCACCGTGCAGCACGACAACGCCTGTTTCTGGTTGACGACCGTATACGGCCCCGCCTACGACGTGCGCAAAGACGACTTCCTCCACGAGCTCGTCGCCATCGCACCGCCGCAGGGCCAGCCCTGGCTCATAAACGGCGACTTCAACATCATCTACGAGGCGCGCGACAAAAACAACCTAAACCTAAATAGGCGCATTATGGGTAGGTTTAGATCGGCGATCGACACTGCGGGACTGCGCGAGATCAAATGCAAAAATCGTAGATTCACTTAGAGCAATGAGCGGCGGAGCCCCACCCTGGTCAGCATCGACAAATTCTTCTGTAACACCGACTGGGAGCTGCTCTTCCCCTCGCACACGCTAATGGAGGCTTCCACGGCCTGCTCAGACCACTGCCCACTCCTCCTGGCTAACGCGTAGGCACCGCGCAGGCAGGCGAGGTTCAGGTTCAAGTCCTTCTGGCCCCGTTTTCCTAGATTCCAGGAAACGATGGCGAGGGCATGGAACAGGCCGGTGAACCACGACTGCCCGTTCACGCGGATCAAAATCAAGATGAAGCGAGCAGCTACCGACTTGAAGATCTGGGGCAAGAGCTTCTTCAGCGAAGCAAAACTCCAGTTCCACATTGCAATCAAGGTCATCATGCGGCTGCACGTCGCGCAGGAGAAGCGGTGACTAACTGACGCTGAATTCAATCTTCGGAAGTCGCTCAAGCTGAAGATCGTAGGGCTGGCCGCGCTAGAGAGGGCACGCAAACGACAGGCATCCCGGGTGACCTGGCTCAGAGCAGGCGACGCACGGATTGCCTTTTTTCATGCCAAGTTGTGCTCACGGCGACGGAAAAACTTCATTCAGAGCATTGAGCACAACGGAGTCCAGGCAACCACCCACGAGGACAAGGAACGGATCGTGGCAGAGCACTTTAGGCAGCTGCTGGGAAAAAAGGAAGCCCGCTGCCGATCAATCAACTGGGACGCGCTCGATCTGCCAAGGGTGCAAAATCAGGGCCTTGATAACCCTTTCACAGAGGAGGAGGTCTGGGCAGCGGTCTGTGCTTCACCGGCAGAAAAGGCTCCGGGGCCAGATGGCTTCTCCGGCACCTTCTTCAGAGCATGCTGGCAAACGATCAAGGGCGACGTAATGGCAGTCTTCCACAAATTCCATAGCCTCGCAGCTGGTGATTTTCAGGCCATCAACACAGCAATCATAGCGTTACTGCCAAAGAAGAACAGTGCAACCAAAATGAGCGACTTCAGGCCAATCAGCTTGATCCAATCCATTGCCAAGCTGATCGCCAAGGTGCTCTCAATCAGGCTCGGAGGGGTTCTTGACAAGCTCATCCCACCAGCCCAGAGTGCCTTTCAGAAGAAGAAGGGGATTCACGACAATTTCCTGTTCGTGCAAAACACTGTCAAAAACATGCACCGCAAGAACAGACCGGCTCTGCTATTGAAATTGGACATCGCAAAAGCTTTTGACAGTGTTTCCTGGGAGTACATACTAGAGCTGCTGCAGCGCATGGGTTTCCCGGCAAGATGGAGGGACTGGATCACGATCCTGCTTGCCTCCTTGTCCTCTGCATGTATGCTGAACGGCATTGCAGGGCCCAGTTTCTTGCATCAAAGAGGATTGCGGCAAGGCGATCCTCTATCGCCGATGCTGTTCATCCTGGCAATTGATCCGCTGCAAAGATTGCTCGCTGCGGCTGAGAGCATGGGCTTGCTCCGCCCAATCCCCGGTTGTGGTTGCAGAGTGCGAATCAGCCTGTACGCCGATGACGCCATTGTCATCGCCAATCCAGTCCGCGATGAAGTAGACACAATAATGCAAGTCCTCCGCGGTTTTGGAGATGCCACCGGGCTCCGCATCAACCCTGCAAAATCAACAGCGGCGCCGATACGATGCGGCGCCATCGATCTGGGCAACGTTCTACAATCCTTTGGAGGTTCTATTGTCAGCTTCCCGATCAGATACCTCGGCATGCCGCTCACACTCGGCCGGATCAGGCTGGTGCACCTGCAATACCTCCTCGATCGGATCAAGTCCAGACTTGCGGGATGGAAGGGACGGCTCATGCCCATCTCCGGCAGGCGGGTGCTTGTCAGGAGCATGCTCTCCGTGCTCCTGGCTTTTGTGATCGCAGTGATGCGCGCCCCGAAGAAATTCCTCAAAGACATGACAAAGTGCGTCGACGCTTCCTCTGGGCCCAGGAGGAGGAGCTCACAGGAGGAAAAAGCAAAGTCAACTGGCAGTTGGTCTCTCCCCCTGTTGATCGCGGCGGCCTGGGCATCCCGGACATGGCCAAGTTCGCCACGGCCCTGCGGCTTCGATGGCTCTGGCTCGCCTGGAAGTGCCCTGATAGACCATGGGTGGGATCGGGCACACCATGCGACGACGCAGACCGCGACCTGTTCGCGGGGGCAAGGGCAGTCACCATCAGAAGCGGCAAGCAGGCGACCTTCTGGCACTGCAACTGGATCGGCGGCCGTCCCCTCAAGCAATCTTTCCCGGACCTCTTCACCCACTCCGTCCGCAAGCACCGGACAGTGGCAGCAGCGCTCCATGAGGACAAGTGGATCCATGACCTGAGACATGGCAACGTAACCAACATCCTGCCGCAATTCGTTTTGCTGCTCAGACTCATCAGAGCGGCGTGCATCACGCTCGACGGGGCCAGGCGCGACGAAATCTGCTAGACGGCGGGCGGCGCCGAGTACTCCGCGCGCGCGGCCTACGCCATGCAGTTTTCAAGCCAGCCGCGCTCTGAGCTCAAAAGTCTCATCTGGAAGACCTGGGCAACGGGGCAAGTGAAGTTCTTCTACTGGCTATTGCATCACAACCGGCTATGGTGCAACGATCGGTTGCAACGACGGGGCTGGGAAAATGCCTACTTCTGTCAACTCTGCAATCGGAACCTTGAGTCGTCGGTGCACCTCTTCTGGGAGTGCACGGTCGCCAGAGAGGTATGGCAACGTGCAGCGCAATGGAAGGGATGTGCCGCCCTGTGCCCTGAAGACTGGTCACCACGCAGCGCGACCATGGAGATGGTGGCCATGATCGCGAGCAAGACGGAGCCGGGCCACCGGCGAGGGATACTGTCGCTCACCGTCCTAATTTTCTTGGCGCATTTGGCTGGAGCGTAACTGCTGCACCTTCAAGAGGAAACAACCAAGCGTCAGCGACATCATCGCCTCGATCAGATGCGACCTGGAGCAATGGCGCCTTGCTGGCACGACCTGTTTAGCGACCCCTTTCGGGGATCCAACGTGAGACATAAGCATTTTTTGGTCGTCAGGCTAGCTTTTCGGCTGCTCTAGTCGCTAAATTTTTGTTTTCATCTCTCTGCTACTGACCGCACTCTCGATCAGTTAGCCTTTTTTGTATTCTCCCCTCTGCTAAATCAATGATAAGCCAGGCAATCTGGATCTTTCAAAAAAAAGTTTCTCAAAAAGAAAATAAGAAAAATGCACCTCTTCCTGCATTTGAATCACGACCATTACGAAAATTACAAATTGGGTTGCGCACACGATTCGGTGCCGCTTCGCAGTGGGTCTGATAGAAAAGCGCCTGAAACTGCTCTTCTGGACCCGATGCGAGCATTCAGAAAAGTCTCGGTTTTGATCTCTTCATCGTCAGTGCACACTTTCCCTCGTCACTCCCTCACATGCGAGGTTGGCAGCCGCTCCAGAAGCTTCTAGAAGCCGCCGCGGACTCCTCCACTCCCCTTGCCGCCGCGCGCCTCCACGCCCACCTCCTCCGCTCGGGCCACCTCCACTCCTCCCACCACCTCACCTCTCGTGTCCTCGCGTCCTACCCTCCCGCCCTCGCTCGCCACCTGTTCGATGAAATCCCCGCCCCGACCCCGCGCCTTGCCAATGCGCTCCTCCGCGCCCGCGTCCGGGCGGGCCAGTGGCGCGACGTGCTCCTCCTCCTCCCGCGCCTCCGCGTCCGCCCGGACGCCTTCACGCTGTCCCTCCTGCTCAAGTCCTGCGCCATGCTCCCCTCCCTCGCCCACGGCCGTGCCGTGCACGCGCTCGCCGTCCGATCCCGCGCCGCGTACACCGACGCCTTCGTGGCCGCCGCGCTTGTGCAGATGTACGCGAAGTGCGGCGACATGGTTGGCTCAATCAACGCCTTCAACGCGTTCGAGGAACCAGACATCGTCCTCCGGACTTCCGTGGTGACTGGGTACGAGCAGAACGGGATGGCACAGGAGGCACTGGAGTTCTTTGCAAGGAGTGTGATTGGCCAGGGTTTCATGCCGAGTCCAGTCACTCTTGTGAGCGTGATCTCGGCAGCGGCGCAGTTGAGGGATGCCCGAAATGGGCAGGCCTGCCATGCATATGTTCTCAAGAATGACTTGGAGTACGACTTGGTTCTGGTGAATGCTATTCTTGGGCTTTACATGCGGATTGGAGCTGTGCAATCTGCAAGGAGGTTATTCGACGGAATGATGGAGAGAGACGTGGTCACATGGAGCTGTATGGTCACAGGATATGTGCAATCTGGACACACCTCTGAAGCGTTGAGCTTATATAAGAAAATGGTTGCGGCAGGAGTGAAGCCAAATGCAGTTACCGTGGTGAGTGTTCTGCAGGCCTGTTCGCTTGTTCTGGATGTTGAAGAAGGCAAGAGGTTGCATGACATTGCTGTCAAGATAGGTTGCGAACTTGAGATGACAGTTGCAACTGCGCTGGTTGATATGTACATGAAGTGCTCGTGCCAGGAGAAGGCAATGCAGTTATTTCTTCGGATGCCAAAGAAAGATGCAGTTGCTTGGGCGGCGGTCATCAGTGGTCTTACCCAAAATGGTCTCCCTGATGAGTCGATGAGAGTCTTCAAGTGCATGTTGTTGGATGGTCCTGTCCCTGACGCTGTCACTATGGTGAAGGTACTTGCTGCATGCTCAGAATCTGGTGTTATGAATCAAGCCTTTTGTCTCCATGGCTATTTGATTAACACTGGTTTCTGTGATAAGAAGTTTGTGGCAGCTGCACTTGTGGATTTGTATTCTAAATGTGGAAACTTGGGTAGCGCTGTCAGGGTATTTGAAAGTGCCACTGAGAAGGATATTGTGCTATGGAGCTCAATGATCTCAGGTTATGGAGTCCATGGCCTTGGGCAGCAAGCTGTTGCCTTGTACCAAAGGATGGTTGCTTCTTCAGTTAAACCTAATAGCCTGACATTTGTATCTGTGTTATCGGCATGCAGCCACTCTGGACTAGTGCAGGAAGGAAAGTCCATTTTTAAAAGCATGACCCGAGTCTATGGAATCATGCCAAATGCAGAGCATCGTAGTGCCATGGTTGATCTCCTTGGCCGGGCCGGTGAATTGCAAGAGGCAGCGAAGCTCCTTCATGAAACAGGTGGGAGAGCTGATGCTCATACTTGGTGTGCCTTGCTTGCTGCCTGCAGAGAACACCGTGACACAGAGATGAGTGGTGTGGTAGCTGCCAAACTACTCAAGCTGGATTCTGACCATGTTGGCTACTACAATCTCTTGACTAATATATATGCTTTTGATGAAAAGTGGGACAATGTAAAAGAGACTAGGGACATTATCAGAGACAGAGGTTTGAAAAAAGTGCCTGGTTGCAGTGCAGTAGAGATCAATAATGCAATGCACACATTCACAGCTGGGGAGAGGTCACACCAAGATTGGGAGAAGATCTCTACATTGCTCTGGGAGTTGTCACGAAAGTTGAGAGGGGATGATTGTTTCTTTCAGTTGGACGGTCACTTGGTGTTTGAAGATTTCTGATCTTCTCTGAGCTGAAACATGATCTTTCAATACACTTCACTTGGTGGTGAGTTCCTAGAAGAAAGTAACAACAAAATAGCATATGCAAGGTAATAATTCATCTTATAATGAGAAAAGTAGCACAGCTTAGTTTTGCACTAATTGTAAAATTGTATATGTAGGACAGACACTTCCAAGAAGTGTATAGCTGTAGTCCCCTTCATTTAACAATCAGTCAATCAGCTATGTATGTGTTGTAGATTTAACTTTATGGTCAGAGCATGGCTACCTTTTTCCATAATTAAAGAAGCGCGTTGACCTGATGTCAACACAAATGCCCTGAACTAACCACTGGTTGTAGGTAGCTTCATGTTGGAGAATGCGTTTGTTCAGGTCTGCTCAGGACTCATGATATGTGAGCTGTTAGTGCTCTCTCGTAGTCGGAAGTCATTATGCATTTGTTCTCTGGAGATAATGAGTTTCATGCATTGAACCTCCAATGCTTTTGCAGAGTAAATTCATCTACAGTTCACTGCAGCTTGCACTGTTTGACCGGTTCTAAAAGTTGTTTCAAGTAGAAAGTTGATTGATATGTTATTGTGCTCTGTGTAGGGCAATATACTTATATATGCCACATAATGGCACGATTGCAAGCCAGTGCTTGTCTCTTTCTCCTATGTGTGGTATGCAGGCAGCGATTAGCAGGTACAGAAACCAGTTATGAAGTTACTCTTTCTGCGGGCCTATCCGCTTGTTTCATTCTGAGTGTGGTTAAGAGTAGCATGATGCGGTTGAATTAACCTAGCCAGTCTTTGTGGACTACATCAGCACTGCCTTGCATTTGTTATCTTTTGTAGTGTTTTTTTGAATCGCTCTGAACACCTGGATGAATTTATTATTACCATAACAAAGGTGGAACTATGACAATGTTTGCGTCTAATTGCCTTGGCCGCATTGGTTTATGATGTATAGTCTCGGTCTCACCGGTCAGTTACCTGCACGCCGCTGATTTCTTCGAGCCATAGTGACACTTATCTGTGTGTTTTATCCGTTTTTCTGCTATGTGGCCAAAGAAGCTTACTTATCGGACGTCACAGAAATCAGGAGCTATGGGCTATGGCAGCATTATCAGTCAGTTGCACCTAGTATTCAATCTGCAGACACATGCTCCCTCAGTTTGAACTAAAACCACAACAAGAATTATGGGACGGAGAAACAATTTAGGATGGCCAAGCTGATGTGTGCCAGTTCAATACTTCTTGCAGCTGTCAAGAGCCACACAAGCTTATCTCATAAGGGTTGTTTACGATATTGATATATGGCTTGAGATGTGCATGTTACGGCTTGACATTTTGTAGTTACCCCAGACTTGAACAAAGAACTCCTGGCCTAACACTCTACTGAAGCAAATCTACAAACATGGTGCGCCGGTACTATGGACGCCCCTGTTGTCACCCAAGGAAATTAGCATACTTCTTGATAAAGACCGAACCTCGAGGCGAGATCCGATCCGTTGTTGCGGCCCGATCTTTCACGACACTCCACCTTCAGCAGCAGTAGCCTCTCACCCGCGCACGCGATATGCACGAAATAGAGGGTTTGAACCTTACGGCCCAGCACGAGAAAATCAATCTCGACGATGATACTCACGCGCAAAAACAATTTCTACAAAGAAATCGCAACACAGAGATTTTCTAAAGATCCCCCTAAAACTTGATACGGGTGTCTACCCTTGAAAACACATCGTGTCTATTTTATCAAATAACCTGCTTTACAATGAACGCATCATGGCTTTATATATTAGCCAATCCATCTAACTTGAGCAACAAACCGAACTATTCATCAATTGATATCTCTCACGGCTAAACATAAAAGGAAACTAATTCTGTTGTAGGTTCGTGCGTCTTCTCTGATTGCATGGCAGGTGGACCCCATCCAATTTCCTTTAAGGAAAGAAGACTCCATGCGTTGCATCTTCTACATGTTCCTCCCTGATACGTCTCTTTGCCTGGCAAGAATAAATATAAAAATCTAAATTGCATTGATTTTCTTTTAAACCAGCGTACAACGCTTCTATATCTCCGATTAGAATATTCCCTTGTAAACTCATCCATACGTACAACCTTGTGGCCTGAGTATGCACGGCTCAAGGACCGATGAGATCCATGCAAGTAGTACTCACATTGTAGTTTTCCATTACCATATAACTCAGTTCGTTTCTTATCTCCCGGGACCAAATCAAGAAATACACCGTAATTGCATGCGCTCAGAACAAAACAAGAATGATTGTTCAATGATTTGACCACCGAGCCATCTTCACTCAACTGAAAATAATTAGGAGCATAGATATTTCGCTGTATTGATCCCTCGACATCACTAGCATCAACGTCCGTATCATCCTCTCCTCCTTGAAACGAAACCGTCCTCGGTTTCGGATCAGTCTCTTCAACAATATTTATTTTTGCAGATTGAGCAGCCATCAAAAAAAATTCTGGAGTTTCAACCTTCTTCTTTACTTCTGATGCAGCTTGAGAAATATCCCGCTTCTTGCGATCGGCCATATACTTCTCCGATGTGTATGAATCAAGTGGTACGTATTGTCCTCCACATAGAAAAGAAAATTCTCCAGCCGAATGATATGTCAATTGTCTTTTATCTGTCCATGGTCTGCCTAGTAGTAGAGAGCAAGCATGCATGTGCATAGGAAGCACATCACACACGACCAGATCATCATATCCAGATAAAGTAAATTTTACCTCAACACGATGCTTGATCATGACAAACTTGTCCTCCCACCAAAGCTCATATGGTTCTAGATGTTCAGTTAACGGCAAGTGCAAAGCATCAACCACGGTCTAACTCACCAAATTCATATTGGAATAGCAATTCATCAATGTTGCACAACTCGCCGGCCCTACACGCACACGCGTAGAGCATTGGTACCACGGCAAAGCAAGCAATGGATCCTTCTCCACCGCCATCATCATTTGCGAGCTACAATCTTTTCTCGTGATAAAAAAATCTTCAATAGTGACTCGAGGAAAAATATTGTGTCGTGAACAACCTTTGCTCTGAATACCACCTGATAAAGACCGAACCTCGAGGCGAGATCCGATCTGTTGTTGCGGCCCGACCTTTCACGACACTCCACCTTCAGCAGCAGTAGCCTCTCACCCGCGCACGCGATATGCACGAAATAGAGGGTTTGAACCTTACGGCCCAGCACGAGAAAATCAATCTCAACGATGATACTCACACGCAAAAATAATTTCTACAAAGAAATCGCAACACAGAGGTTTTCTAAAGATCCCTCTAAAACTTGATACGGGTGTCTATCCTTGAAAACACATCGTGTCTATTTTATCAAATAACCCGCTTTACAATGAACGCATCATGGCTTTATATATTAGCCAATCCATCTAACTTGAGCAACAAACCGAACTATTCATCAATTGATATCTCTCACGGCTAAACATAAAAGGAAACTAATTCTATTGTAGGTTCGTGCGTCTTCTCTGATTGCATGGCAGGTGGACCCATCCAATTTCCTTTAAGGAAAGAAGACTCCATGCGCTGCATCTTCTACATGTTCCTCCCTGATACGTCTCTTTGCCTGGCAAGAATCTCTACTCCTAATGTCTGAGTTGGTAGGATTGCGTCCACGGTTTACTTTCGTCTGGTTTATTTTCGTCTGGTTTATTTTCGTATCACATCCCACCACCATATCTCATCAAGTTGTTTTTTTTACCTTCACAATAAAAACTTTCCTAACCTTTCCAAAGTTTCCTAACTAGACACATTATAAACGAGAAGGAATTGATAGCACGTTACCAATCAATAAAATTTAGTTTTATGACAATCAATTCTAAATCTTAATCTCTACTCCTAATGGACGAATTGGTTGAATAGTCCCACCATTTTCAACCGGTTTATTTTCAACCGGTTATTTTTCGTCTGGTTTATTTGTCCCACCTCCCACCTGGTTGAATAGTCCCACCATTTTCAACCGGTTTATTTTCAACCGGTTATTTTTCGTCTGGTTTATTTGTCCCACCTCCCATCTGGATTGATAGCCTTTATGGTAATCAATCACAATTAATCCACGTATGGAAAGGCTATAAACTCAGAAATCTCATCAATCCAGCCTTTATGGTAATCAATCATAATTAATCCACGTATGGAAAGGTTATAAACTCAGAAATCTCATCACCGTTTTTTTCGTCATCCTACCACCTCTGCTCAGTATAACCGGTACAGGGAGGAGAAAAGAGAAAAAAAAAGCCCAGCTCGCACGACCTTCCTCCTCGATCCCATCTCGACCTCCGTCCCGCCGCCACCTCCTGCCCCGCCCCGCCCAGCCTCACCGCGCGCCGCCCGCCGCCGACGCTCCGCCCACCGCAGCCGCGCCCGCACCCATCTCCCATCGATGCGCCACCATCTCCTGTATCCATGCTCCGCCGTCTGAATCCCGCCGTCGAGTCTGTCCCGCTCGCCGTGGCCAATGATCGCATCGACCGGGACCGCATCCCTCCCCAAACGGCGGCGATGACGGAAGGCGCCGCCCAGCTCCTGACTGACGGAGTCGTCGGGTTACCGCTCCTCGGGGCCAGCCCCTCCCCCGTGTCGGGTCGCGCATCGGCTTGGAGGCCCCTCGGGGCTGCCGCCGATGCGGGAGTCCTGCACGGCCGTGGGGACTGGGGACCAAGCGGCGGGGCCCGTGTCGCGCTCCTGTTGAGGGCTTGCTGGGGTTGGCCGGGATCTGAGCCGCCGTCGATGGATTTCTTGCAGGTTGGCTACATGTTGCTTCGGATTTGGTACTATCCCCATCTCCCTCTCTCCCTGGACAGCCGTGGACAGGCGGACGTGCTCCTACTCCTCACAAGGCACCCACATTCTTTATTAGCAAGCCAATCCAAAACTTCAGCATGCATTTTTTTTGAAAGGACAATTAAGTATCTTTGTTAGTAACATCTTTGTCAGAAATTAGAAAAACGCCAGTGCATTAGTTGAGCTAATCAGCTAGCTTCATCTCTTGGATTATGAATTGATAGTATGGCACATGTTGTATCGTTATAAGCAATTTTTGTTAGGAGGTAAGATTTTAGTGTCGTACTCGACCACGACAAGCAGCAGCTCGCGAAGCCTTTGCAATTCATGTATTTACAACATTTACAGTTCATCCAGTTAAATCCTTATATTGTAATTCTATTCCCTACCCTTTCTTACTTGTAGGAAATTCAAGTGTGGTACACATGTGAGTATATTCTCCTTCCCTCTGTTGTATGCATGTGGTCATTTGTTATCCGGATTAAGAATCAAGATCCACTACATTCTTGAATATTGAAGATTATTTTAGTTGCTCCAGATTAAATTTGATAAATACAATTTCCTTGTTGGTTCCATCTGAGTTGTATTATTGATTTGGGCAGTTTTCAGTAATCTTAAGCCGTCTTCAGATTTTAGCTTCCTCAATCATTCTGAATTATTTAACCTCAGTATGAGGTACATGTGTTCCAAAGATTAATCCTGAGAAATTTGTAGTTGACCAGTTGGGTCTATTTAATTTGTTCAGTAGAGTGCAACGGCAGTCACCATTGTTCAGATCTATTCTAAAGCAGCATTATTATCACTGCAATATCTTTGTTACTTCAACCAAATAGTTCAGCCGTGTCTTATTGATTTGGATGGGTTCTTACTAATCTTTAAGCCAACTTCAAATTTTAGCATGCTCGGTCAATCTGGATTATTTAGTGTCAATTTTGATGCATGTCTTTAATAAAATAAGAAACTGATTTTGGGTGCTAAACTAAACACTAAACACTACTTGTTCATGGCAACTATGTGTAGAAAGACGATCACGGTGGAGATCCCAACGGTCGACGTGAAGCCAGGGTGGAAGAAGGGCATGAAGATCACCTTACTAGAAGGAACAATCTGATATTTTTCGGTACAGTTGTGGCTAGCGCGCAACACTATCATAATTTAAAAACACTTAAAAATTCGCCCAAAAAATCACTTCTTACTACAAAAATACATTCTTCTCAAAAAATGTTATTTTATAAAGTTTACATTTTAATGAAATATTAAGTTTTATTAAAAAAAGAAATTTCCATGTTCAACATTTATTAGAATTAGATATTTAAAATGGCGAAAATGACCCATCAAGCAGGTTCTACCATTTTTATCGCCCGGTACTGTAATTTCTATACATGTGAAATTTAACATGCATTATGTTTATATATAACTTTAACAAAATATTCCAAAAGCGTGTGGCGACGCACGGTATGTTCTAGAAGATGTGTTTTTCCGTAGTGTTTCTAAATGGTAAATTGTATGGTTTCAAGCACCTAAGAAAAACGTCCTACACTGATTTGATCTGTTCGCTCGCTTGCCCCACCCCCC